GTTGCTGACTCGCTCACACATCATACACTCACTCACACATCATACACTGACTCACTCATCATACGCTGACTCGCACATCATACACTGCCTCACGCTGCTGCTGACTCACTCACACATCATACACTGGGAGTGTCGTGCTGCCAGCTATGGCTGCAGGTTTTGTCGTACGTGTTATGTATATCGTTTATTGTTAAATTAAAAATCACATTTCCTATGATTACTGTTGTTACATTGTTTTTATAGCTTTATTTTGGTCTGGTTGAGGTGTAATAGTTTTCTGCAATGTAGATTCATATTTTGTTTGTTGCGGCTGCACCCGACTTAAGAGCCGCATGGCTCACAGGGCTATACCTAATAAATGAAAACTTGCAAAAATGAAAAAAAAACACCTGGGAGTTTTGCACTCAGCATTGGTGTGCGGTTCTTTTTCTGGAAGACTTTGCTGTTTTTTCCTGGATTTTTTTTTGCGCGTAGTCACTTTAAGATGTTTTCCTTGTTCATGTTTTTGCTTGTTGCGGTAGCACCCGATTCAAGGGCCGAATGGCTCACAGGGCTATACCTATTAAATGAACTGAACTGAACACTTCTCATTGTGGGTTGTTTGTGGGGGGTGGGGGGGGGGGGCCCAAGCCTTAGTCAGATATCCATTGCTGCTGTTGTTAGCCGCGGATGGGAATCAAAACTCACGGCGCGGGGTTCATATTAAATTATTTGTTTTACTAGGTAGGACCCTCTGAGCTACGTCGCTATATATCTTTTTAGAAGCGACCTGGCCACAAATGATAGCTCAGTGAAGTGGCTTATCACGTGGAAATTGTATAGTAGCCAAATACTCCAAACGCATGATTCTAATTGTGGAGGAAAAACACCGTAGAACCCAGAGAAAAAGTCCACACGACCACAGGCAGAACATGCAAACTCTAAATATACAGGCATCAAGGTGGGGATTGAACCGACGACCACCTGTATACCAGGCGAGGTAGTTAACATCTCGCCACCGTGGCACCCTCTGTGTCAAATGTAACTAAAATTATAACGTGGGTGTGATGCTAAAATGCATCTGATGATGATGATGTCACCTCATATACACTTGTTGTGGAGAGTAAGGGAATACCACCAGAAGCTTTCTCATTTAGCTATAGCTCATTAACTCTGGTATGGAGAGTTGTCTTTTTAGGTGCGGGATATAGGGAGGGGGGGGGCACCTTGAGCCATGGCCCTGCACTTGAGCAGGAAACTTAAAAGAAACTCGAATTCTAATGTATGTTGAACTTCTTTCACCCCGTACGTAGCCAACCGTGCTAATCCGAGGTGCGATTGGCACGGTTGGCTACGAAGGCTTATATGGCTGTGTTTACCAATCATCCGGCTCATACTTGCCCAACAAACTCATGAGCGACTCCCCCACCACCACCAACGCGGCTTCCATCACGAAAACAATGGCCGGCGCTTAACCGGGTCTGGATAAACTACCGGAGATGCGGAGACGTAATAGATACCTGATGCACAAGTGTCAAGTAAAAGGTTATCCTGTGTGCAATGGCAGCTATGGCTACGAATACCGAACTATGGAGCGTATAATTTCACACTGCCCCAAAATAAAAACGTGAAGGTACTGTTTTCTAAAAATGTGCGAACTCTAGGAAAAAGCACTTGAATGGCTAAATAACTTAGCACTGAATCTCCAATAGTTGCCCTTCATTGGCCACACAAAATAACCATCATTACATATCAATGGGCTCATCGTACTGTCTGCTCAATGCTGTGCCACTCCATAAAGAACAAATTAGGTACAACAAGTGATTTTGAGTGCAATGCACCCACTCACACACGAATACTTATGATCACATGGATAATTATACACCATTCATAATGAATCTCCCAGAGATTGGGAATGCATTCTATATATAGGGCATTCAAAATTGGCTGCATGCCAAATCTATGTAATGTGAGGTTCTAAATGATCAAATACTGCAGTACAACAACATAAATTCTACACAGACAAATATAGCATGTTAAGCGGTGCTTTTCGTGTGCCAAAAAACTGTTAAAAAAGCCCAAAGTGCTGTCATCACTTGACTATACCACTCACAACTGCAATTATCAACACGACTTCAATACGGCAAGGCAGACGGGAAAATGAGTAAGCGTGGTTATATATGCGCACATCACAGCAGGTGAACAAAAACATTTCCAGTCGAGTACTTTTAGTTTGTTAACGACCGCACACCAACAAATACGTTGTGTGTATACCCGAGTGCATGTGCATGGGAGTTGTTTTAGGATACCGTTCAACATAGCTGTAGCAACTAAATTTGTGCTATTCAATGAGTATCTGTCTGAGTTTTATTTAGCTTTTTGTGCTTAGTTCGTTGTCCTTCCCCCGCAACTCCAATTCACATTGTTCGATACAAATGGCGTGAAAGAAGTTCAAGATACATATATAAAAAAAATCTGCGTGCGCGCGTATGTACGCGAGTGCATTCTTACACAAGTCTGATATCTGTTTTGAATTTATTTGTGCAAGTTTTGTGATGTTTTTGTTTCATGCAGATGGGTTCTTGCCGTCACACAAGAATGGTCTGTAAAATGATTTTTCGCCACCCGTAATTGCACCATAAATCATGCTTGGACAGTACAAGGACCTTAATTGCAATGCTTGCAATGGAATTCTGCTTCGAACCAATTCAAAAAACATATCAGTGGCAGAGTACAGAGGCAAATATATTTAAAATGCAATGTGTTTCACTCGAGTTTAAAAGGGCACTTGCCTTTGTTACATAAGTAAATTTGTCTAGCCTGTTAAAATAGTGGTGGACTACATTCATTTAATATCTATGCAACATTCAAATAAAGTAAGTCACAGCCTGGAAAAGGTTTTATGTTTTTCAATATCCACTTGTCTATAAAACTGATGGTACCAAACTCTCAATCACGGTATGCATTAATTTTGTATAATGGTAAATGTAAAAAAATTATCCATTCACAGACAGTATTTAAAAACATGCATCACACTAGTGAAATTGATATTTAATTCACTCTTTTAGAAACGCCTACTTGCATAAACCTTATTCATATTCTTAGTTCTTTCGGTAAAGTCACGTTGAAGGGAAACAATAAAATAATAATATATATATAAAACAATAAAAATTCTCACGACGTTTCGACCATAACATAAACGGTCGTCATCAGGTGTGTCGGTGTGTGATGACGACCATTTGTGTTATGGTCGAAACGTCGTGAGAATTTTTATTGTTTCATATATATATTTTATTGTTTCCCTTCAACGTGACTTTACCGAAAGAACTAAGAATATGAATTACTGCAGTCACGAAAGCTTTAAATCAAAAATTGCATAAACCTTGTGAACTTAACAATGCCCAGGGTTATTAATCTAAACCCCCCAAACGTCTATCAATAACAATGCCGTCAACATATAATAGACTACGTTACCGAAATGGCCCTTCTTCATAGCACGTAAAATTAAGAAGGGTCTTCATTATTATATAATGTTCCTTTTAAGGCAGTGTTATTGATGAATATGTTTGGTTTTGTTATTGTTGTAAATTGTGTTTATGTGCCACTGCCAACACGGCATCTCAAAATAGGTTCTGAATGTACTTGTGTTGTGCAATTTTAATCGTAGTGTTTAATAAATAGGAGTTCGAAGCCACCGGAAATGCAAATGCTAAATATTTTAATAGGCCGAGGTAAGGTAAACTTTTATACCCAAACCCCCTTAGAAAGTTGCTTAAATATGAAAGCCGATATGTAAATGGTTCTAAATTAATGCAGTTTGCCATGTACATATGACTCGAGCATAACACAAGCATTGCTGACCCGCCCATCCTCCAATCTAAGTAAATATTCTGATGCCGTGAATTGTTACAGGAACATGCACCATCCAAATACATTTAAGGGAGGGGGGGGGAATGGCGTGGGAACAAATAATCCTTAAATAAAGTACCCACATTGCCTTGTATTTTGCAAGCATGCGTGCCCTAACAAGATATTTTTTAAGTGACATATGTCAAAATGGGACCTTTTTGACAGTATCAATGTAGGCAATAAAAAATGTGTTATTTAGATGTTCAAACACCAAATAGAAACCCATGCTCTGATAATGTTTTGTCTGCATGTTTACCACAAGTACTGAGTGTGTTTAATGCAGACTTGATTCCTTGCAAAAGGTTTCTATTTGGTGTTTGAACATCTAAATACCTCCTGTTTTATTGCCAGAAAGGGTAAAACCTATTTGGAATTTTTCACATTTTGAAACTAGCAAAATGGTCCGATTTTGTAGCTGCTATTCTTTTTTCAGACAGATGTCAGAGCCATTATAATTCGTCCATTCGTTTATTATCTATAAGCCGATTATTTGCGTTGTGGAAGAGTAGCCATAGGGGATCCCTCTTAACACGGTGCAGGATCCCCTTCGCTTGGCAAGCTTGAAGGAGAGATCATAACAGGAGTTTGTGTAAAATGCCCAGGTGGTTTTTGCCATTCACTGAGGGTGCAAAGACTGAGGAAGGTAAATAAATAGGCAGACGCAGAGCACACAAAGTGCTTGCCTGTTCAAACGATAAATGGGGCGATGCTTGATTCCATTGACAGCTACAAAGCTCCAGTGATGGTAATTACACATTCCCATGACAGTGGCCCCGGGGGGGGGGGGGGGGGGAGAATGTCTCTTCACAGGATTACCACTTTTGACCTTTAAGATGAGTTCACCCCTTTTTGCGGGATTGCAACTCGGCAACCTTCCTATCGTGAACAAAGTGCTTTGACCACAGCGCCACCATGTCAGGCTCTACACGGTCTACCCAAGAGTGCACTGACCTGTCGCTTGCTGGATATTGATACCTGTATTGAATCATGTGTATTAAGAGTGGAAAAAAAAACATTTTCAATCAGCGTTTTTGCTGAACAGGGCGTCCAACCCATACGGAAATGCAGCTGTTTAAATTCCCAGCGTCTAGGATGAGCATTGCTCACCATACCTGGCTGTGATGGTAGACAGCTGGCCATGGTTTGCCCGCTGTGGCGAGGCGACCGTTACAATTGTGTCGAAGCAGCCACAGCCCAACCGAGCAGTCGGCCTTCCGTCAGTCAGGAAGAGGTGGATGAAGAACGCGTGCAGGCCTTCGCTGCCACCTGCACTCACGAGCGACACAATCACTGAATTCGCGAGGCCCCTCCTCGCCCGATGGGTGCTCTCTTTCACTTGTTCACACGAGGATTGCCCACGACGGCACGCGGTGGCCTGATCGTGGCTTTTACCGGCGTCGTCAACATATCGCCCACGGTGGTGCAACTTCATTTTCTGAGGAAATATACATTTTGCCATCACCCCTGGTTACAACGCCAGCTACGAGTACAAAGCAGCGTCAATTGGTTGCTTTGTATAGTTCACCAAGCTGTAAAGAAGCACATGCCCCGAGAGATGTCTATAATATTATGACGCATCAATAGTTTTCAGGCGATTGAACGTATTCTTATTCTTGGTTCTTTCGGTAAAGTCACCACGTAGAAGGGAAACAATAAAATAATAAAAAAATATAAAACAATTAAATTATCACGACGTTTCGACTGCAACACGAGCAATCATCATCAGGTGTGAAAACCACAGCAAGACAATTGAAAAAAGTGGCGGGTTTTTTTTAACATGCTCGGCTCTGACAGATCGTGATGTATTTTACAGTCAAAGGGGGGCTGGACGATAATTAGTGGCCCAAAGCAAGTTTCTCTCTTGAAGCTGAAATGAATAGGTCAACAGTCACAGACTTCTGAGGTGATTGGGTGGTAGCATAAGACAAGTCTAGTGTGCTCGCCTTAATGTCTGAACTTTTGAGAAACCAAGGACACAGTTTGAATGCTCGTCTTTTTCACTGCAAGTATGCGCTCGTGCAAATATTATCGACCAAGTGCACGTTCATTCGGAAGGAGCATCGTGCTCATGAATTGTGGGCACACAACAACTTGTTGTGTTCTACATTTGGAAAAAACCCCAACGAAAAAGAAACCCACTATCATGGCCAAATATACTGAATGTGATGCAATTACAAAAAAAAAGTGTCCATGAGGGAATATTCGACTACAAACATAAACTTCCATACACGTGTAAAAAAAAAATATTTTTTACTCCAACGTTTCCAGTTATTTATATGAAACGTAGAGCATCACTGGCCGAACAAAAATATGGTGTACTTCAACTGGCCCCATAGTTCATTGTAAATTAAGAACTGTGAAACAATAAGACGTTAAACAAATCAGTGTTTGTGCGATAATGTGCTGATCACAAATCCTCTGTGTGAACCCAATGCTAAGATGACACGCACACGAGGCGTGCAATGGATTTGCACCCACTGGACCCAATATCCTTGTTCCTTTGGTGACCAGTTAACCCCGGGACGTGTGATAGATGATAGAATAATGGACAGCAAGTGTCACAGCGTGGTCCCAGAACTCCAAAGCTTGTTAAGCAACTGGAGTTGTTGGCTTTGTGAAGCAACGCAGTGTCGAGCTCATATGGTGATCATGGAAACTCATAAAATCCTAAATGTGCAATGCACCACTTTATAACAGTTTGATGTAATAATAATAATAAAGTATCGCTTCTACATATATAATACATTTCCATGTGAAGGTGTTAAACCAGCCCACATCTGGTGTTCTGAGTTAAGGCAAAATATGATTCAGCGTTTTCATCGAAGGTAGGCCTACTCACTGTAAAGTATCGTTCCATTCACAGCTGCAGTCATGACGGTAATGACGATTTCAAAAGACAAGTCTTTTCTCGGAGAAAAATCATTCCTTTCGTTGTTGTTTTCCAGCAGCAAGGACAGAGCAGGCAGCTTCAGGAAAGAGCTCCCACCAAACGATGGAAAATATATGGTGTCATCTGCAACAATAATAAAACAAAATTACAATGAATAATTGCATAGCAACCTACTAATAAAAATACAAATGCGTGAAGTTTATGAAATCCTGTTTGGGAATTAACCACGGTGATTATGAAAGCAAAAACAGAAGCAATTACAGTCAAGTCGGCAATGAGTGAGATGCCTCATACCTGAACTCTAACATTTAATTAGCTTACAGAATGTATTTATAACCATTTTTTCTTACTACATCTCTACTTGCTTCAGTAGCACTGCCAGAGGCGATACGGAAAATGTAGAATCCCACCTGTTCCATCTGAATTAGATAAAGTGTTTCCCTGATTGCATGCACACCTTTCTCTGCGTGCTGCGGGTTCTTCCCACGTGTGTGAACACTCGTTAATTTGCTGAAAACATCTTAACACACGGCGACACCCGCTAACAAGAGTTCAGACTCATTATATGTATTTATACTGGAGGAATCTGATGAGCTGTAAAGCTCTTTTTCACAGATTTTTAGCAGGGGCGGGTAAAAATGTTACAACAACAAACAGTACAAAAAACACTAAATTTTGATTTAAAGCTTTCGTGACTGCAGTAATTCATATTCTTAGTTCTTTCGGTAAAGTCACGTTGAAGGGAAACAATAAAATAATAAAATATATATAAAATATACAAAAACACGATAGGAGTGCAAAGTACAAGAAAGGAAAACAAATCGCCCAAACACAAACAAATTAAACTAAACCATCCCCATCCTACCAGGCAAAGCCCACTGAGGTATGAACTTATTTTTTAAAAGCGACCTGGACACAAATGAAGGCTCAACAAAGTGGCCCGTCATTTGGATACTTATAGCAGCAACATTATCTAAACAGCCTAAACACATGTTTCAAAATGTGAAAGACTCGGAGAAAAAAAATCCACTCGACCACAGGGAGAACATGCAAGCTCCAAATATATAAGCGCCATGGTCGGGATCTAATCCCCGACATCTCTTGCATACCAGACGAGGAAGATAACGTCTCACCACCGTGGCACCCTTTAAATATGTTTAACTTGGGTGGCCCAACATTACATTTGGTGGTGCAGGACCAATGCCAGCGACCAGCTCCTCGCTGAGACCCATCGCTTACAACATTTAAGAACCTGCTTAAATCATGGGTGACTGCCATCTTTAAACTTAGGATCTCAAATATGCTGCATCGGTGATTTCGTGTTTAGTTTGTTGTCCTTCCACACACCTCCGATTAGCATGGCTGGCTAAGTACGGTGCGAAAATAGTTCAAAACACCTGCATAAGTATTTAATGTGGTGTTTCAGTGGGACTCCTATTATCAATGTGGTATTCCATTTGTTCTTTCAACTTCCAAGTAAGCCACCCTTTTGTAAACCATTAAAGTCAACGATGGTGAGTCATGTAAAGCACTGGTGACAGTTTTGTGGCTTTCATAAGAAGCATTTAAAGTATAACTATTGACAACCTGAACTCAGGGCACATACGCATGCATGTATGTATGTTATACTTATTTCGCACCGTACATATCCAACCATGCTAATCAGAGGTGAAAGTGCAAAGTTCCAGTGGCTTCCTACTATCGGAAGGAAGAGCGTTCCAGACGGCCGCAGAAGCGCATCTGAAAAGTGCGCGATCGCGGTGACCACCATCTGTGCTCGATGGCTAGCCAAAAGCCGAAGCTGCAAGGATCACCGGGAGTTCACGTGGTGAGGTTTATGCTCCTTGACGAGATCAGCAAAGGCATTGGCGGTTAATTTGTGACACGAGTGTGGAGTAGCCCCGAACAGAAGATAATTCACACTTCTGCAAAGTCCACCCCCTCGTGGTCAATGCATTCTTATACACTTATGCAGGTGTGAAATTGACGTGTGAAGTAACATAAGCTACGGGGCTTATGTTCATCTCAGTAATATTACCGTATCCAATAACAAGCAGTTTAATGTGCTAGATTGCAAGACAGCAGACGTGTCTGAAAGGCCTTTACACCCTGCACCCTTATTTCGCCTCTGGCTCTGAAATAATGAGCCATGGGCACAGGATTACAAAGACCATGATGCCTGCTCTTCTGCTGATGGAATAGATCCTGTGTTGCATTTGTTAAGGCACGGTTCCGTATGATTGCATTCATGCTTAACTGCACCAAATTCATTTTAAAAAAATGCATGTATTATTCAATAGCTGGAATATTAAGTGTTCTAAGAATCAGTGTTAAATAAAGCATGCAAAGTAAAATTAATAAAACATTACAATGGAAGGCAATCTTTATTAACAAGCTATTTGCCAAACAGACAAATACAGATTTGGTTTTGATATCATTCAAATATTCATGAATTTCCTAAAGAACAATCAGCCAGCAGCTTTAATCTCATACTTCGGGAGTGATAGTGTAGTGGTAATCGCACCATGAAATAAACATGGCCACCTGAATTCAATTACCCAGCCAGGTCTAACATCAGTCGTGAGTGATATCTGAAACTGGTGCTGTGCCTCCCCATCACTGACATGCACTCATTTGTGTCGTTAAGTACAGTCAAGCAACTGCCATGACGCACTGCATGGAGAGTTCTTTACATTGAAATTACTTTACAGAAGTCTGCACATTTATTTAATCTCATTGTGACAAATCATTGCGATCCATGTTTTTTTGTTGTTGTAATTATCTCTTGTCAACTGAAGTTTACTTAAAAGTGTAAATCGACACACGTAGAGTGTATGTACATGTAGTGTTGAACACGGAGGCATACACTTGACTTGGAGGCGTTATTACACAGCCCCAACAGGGCGAACTACATAAACGTACACACTCTAGACCCTAACAGGGTAACAACACTACGTTAACAGGGCAACTACATAACCGGGTTAGTCAGTAACATTCTGACTGACCTACGATGCCGAAGATTGAAGAGACGTAGCCCCGAGGGTTGATTCCAGAGAACAGCCAAGACTCTCGGGACTGCCCCTTTATGCCCCTGGGCGTGGCCTCGCTCCGCCCTCGACCACGCCCCCTTCGAGACCTTTCCCGAAGGATCTCGACCGAGCGTCACGTGTCCCTCAAGCCCCCCTCGGTCCCCTCTTACTACCCTGTCCCAGTCACGTGCCCTCCTGGGTTCACCAAGACTACCATGTCCTGACTTGCCCTCTCTCAGGCCGTCACCAGGACCATGTCCCCTAAGGCCCGTTCGCATGCCGTACTCACTCTGGCCCCAGAGAGAGGTTCCAGATGCACAGTAGCACTCTTGTAACAATTCTTGGTGCTAACACCATAGTGACACCCTCTACGTCGCTACAGATATAAAAAAGCCATTAGTCAAAACTCAGATAGTCCACACATAATTAAACAGTAAAGGATAATTAACTTCATTTGACATGTGACAGCCTACTCATTGTGAAATTATTCTAGGAAATGTATTTTCCTCCTCGTTGTCAAAAAGTTTAAAATACATTAAGCTGCCAATAAAACCGTGTCCATAGGTGCAGGGCAGGAAGCGACGGCGCACTGCGACCTGAGTTTTATTCCCAGCCATGGCTAACATTGGTGGTGCACGATTTCAGAACTAGCCCAGAACCCCCTTGCTTCACCAAATCTCACTATCAGGATGGTAAAGTATGGTTAAACATCCCCTATAACCAGCACAGCACACGTGAGTTGGCCTTACTGTGGTGGTGCACTGACAAGAGGACTGTACATTTTCATGATTACAGATGCACACTGTGTTTTGCATGCGAATTTGTGGTCTTTACAATGTATTAAACACGTGGTATTCATGATATGCATACTGTAGAAATGTAAAAGAAAGAAAGCAATAGCAAGCAAGATATGTTGGCATTAATGGAATTGGGAAATGATGGATTTTTGCCCTTAAACTATAAAGGATGAATTTTTTTTATCAAAGGTATACTGCAAGGTATTGCTTTGTTTATTTACTCAATATTTCACTGATGGCTAGATAATCATGAAGGTAATTGCTGCAGCAATTCCTTAACATCTTTAACAGCCATTAAGAACGACTAACGTTCTTTGTTTACCAAGGAAGGCCTCGCCCAGTTTCAAGACATTCATTTAAAAGATAATCTTATTTTAAGTATTCGGCAAATTTCATTGATAATTGTTGAGAGTGTGGGAGGAAACACAGAGCTCATGCACAGACAGATTCAAGAATCCATTGTTGTACTGCCATCACCTTATCTCACAGGCCTAGCCCGACACTCCCGTCCAAGAACTAGCCATGCTCACACTTTGCTTAGCTTCCAATATCTCATGAGATCAGGCACATTTAAGGGAATTTGATCCTAGCAATGCGTTGATTTGGTTTAAAATATTAACTTTGTTCCGTTTTGTGCGTGTTTATTGTGTGTGTGTGTACAGTGCAACATTGTGCTCACTATATGTAAATATTCATAAAGTTCGTTTGCCATGCACACATTTTGCAGCATGTACATGTTTTCTCCTATTACATTCCTGTGGATCAACGGGCATCGCCAGGCAAAGTGCCACTTACACCACCCTCCCAGGTGCCAGTCCTTTTTTATTTTTTTTATTGAACCCATGGCATTTCCGACGGTGACAGGCGAGAGAACACTCGGCTTGGGGCTATCTTTGTGGGTTGTATCTCCTGGGTTTGTGACCCTGCCTGTAGGTGGTGTGCAGTATTCCCTCGTTATTCGCAATGGATACCTTCCAAATTTCGCAGATAATGACATTGGCCTACAGAAACCTATTTTTTCATGAATTACTTAAAATAAATACGTATATAAGAGATTAAATACATGAACATCATCATTACACAAAAATACACATTGGTTAAATGAACGTAAAGTAAATACAAATACATATTAAAGTATGAAATCATAGTTTATATATACTTACCTTAAATTATGATGATGATGCATCACATTCTCTCTCATCACTTTTCTCTCTTCCTCTCGATATGCAGTCGTGCAGCGTTCCAGATGTGATTCACGGATATCCAAAATCGTGGATAGCAAGTTCGTAAATAACAA